TCCTTCTCTTAGATCTTTTGTTTTTTTTAGAGACAGGGTCTTGCTCTAAAGACCTTCGTGAGCCTTGTTCACTAAAGCTGGAGTGCAGTGGCGTGATCTCAGCTCACTGCCATCTCCACCTTCCGGGCAAACGTAGTCCTCCCACCTCGGCCTCCCAAGGAGCTGGGACTACAGGCGTGCACCACGACGTCCAGCTAATGTTTGTATTTTTTTTTTTTTTCAGAGAAAATGTCTTGCCGTGTTTCCCAGGCTGGTCTCAAACTCCTAGGCTCAAGAGATCCTCCTGCTCAGCTTCCCAAAGTGTTCGGATTAGAGGTGTGAGCTGCCATACCCAGCCTCTCTTACACCTTTTAATTAATTTTTAAAAACACATTTATCATCTCTTTCACCATTTCACTATTCTCTCTCATTTTCTGGGTACCATTCTCCTAGCTGTTATATTTTCCATTTCTCCCACTTTTCTTCATGTGGCTGGTGGACAACAGGGGTAAAATCCACAGAATTTTGAGTGGGAAAGATTAGGATTAATTGCATTACCAGTGAAGTGGTCTTTTTTGTATAAAGGCAAAAATTATCAGATTGCCCTGGACTCAGAAAACGTATCATCCATGCGCCCTTATTTTTTAAATTACATAAAATTATAGACCAGCTAATTCTTAGATAAATAAAAATAATAACTCAAGAGTCTACAAGAAAATAATCATTGATTTTCCTTCTAGAAATCCATTCTAAGGATAGAATCTAAAGTGGAGACAAAGAGCTATGCACACAGTAATAAGAGAAGAAATGAAAACAATTTAAATGTCCTCAATTAGGAAAATATCTGTATGACAGAATATCAGCGAGAAAGTTTACAAAGAGTTCTTGATTACACCGGAAAAGACTTCAGATATCCATTCTAAAACATAGGTTCAATAATATAAAGAAAAAAGGCAGAGAACAATGATTGGAATACACTAAATTTCCAATGGTTATCTCTGATTCTGGATTTTTGGAAGGCGTGTACTTCTTTATGCTTGTCTATAATTGTAAATGTTCCTCAATGATCCATAATTTTATCATCAGAAAAGAGTAACATGTATAGAATATATGTTAAAAAAATGAAAACTTCCAAAGATTATAACAGACAAGAACTTATGTATCTGGGCGATATTAAATAAGAAAAATAAATACTGTGCTACTGGCTTTGAGATAGTCTGCAATTTATTCTCAACAAAGCAGCCAGAGCACCCTTTAAAAGAGGGGGAGATGGGATTCTGTCTCCGCTTTCCTCAAGACCCTCCAAGGGCACCTCATTCTCCTGAGTGTAAAACCAAAGTCTTGGCCAGGTGCAGTGGCTCACGCCTGAAATCCCAGCACTTCGGGAGACTGGGGCAGGCAGATTGCCTGAGCTCAGGAGTTTGAGACCAGCCTGGGAAACATGGCAAAACCCTGTCTCTACAAAAATACAAAAAATTAGCTGGACGTGGTGGTACAGCCTGCAGTCCCAGCTATTTGGGAGGCTG